TAAACTGGATACTGCTGAGCCCTTCCTTATCTGAGCAGCATGTGCTTGGTAGGTGAAAGCTTGAGAAGTATTGACTTCCGTGACAGATCTAAATTTCTTACTGAAAAAAGAAAAGAAAAAAAGATTAGGCTATAAAACATGAAACTTACCATACTTATAATATGTTTCAAATATTTTTCCACTTACTTTAGTGATAATTCTATTTAATCCCCATGCACTGGGGTATTGTGGCTTATGTGAGTCCTATCTTCAAGAAGGGCGATAGTCACTCCACGAACAACTATAGACCGGTGAGCCTGACCAGCATAATATGTAAAGTACTTGAGAGTATTATCAGAGATGCCGCGATGGAACATCTACTACGAAACAACCTTGTAAAAGATTGCCAACACGGTTTTATGCCGGGGCGCTCTTGCTTGACACAATTGCTCAAGGTATTGGATATTTGGACCCATATTCTAGAACGGGGTGGTAATATCGACAATATTTACCTAGATTTTGCCAAGGCTTTCGACAGTGTACCCCACGAAAGGCTGAAAATCAAACTGGAAGGGTACGGAATTCGGGGAAATGTCCTAGCGTGGATAGAAGACTTTCTACATGACCGCAAGCAATGTGTGGTGATTAATGGCACGAAATCGTCATCTGTACCTGTAACAAGTGGGGTACCGCAGGGTAGTGTATTGGGCCCGCTGTTGTTTGTTTGTTTCATAAATGATATGCCTGACGTTGTACACTCCTCCATACAAATGTTTGCCGATGATGGCAAGTTATTTCGGGAAATTAAGAACCAAGCGGACTGTGAAGAGCTGCAGAAGGACCTCTGTGGGCTCCAGGAATGGTCGAAGGAATGGCTGCTGAGATTCAATGTCACGAAGTGTAAGAGGATGCACCTGGGGCGTACCAACGGTAAGGAGGCGTATCATATGTCCCAACGGGATGAAGAAAATGTACTAGTTGAGACTGTGTGTGAGAAGGACCTAGGTGTGTATGTTGACAATGAGCTGAAGTTCTCGGGCCATTGTGAGAAGAAGGTAAATCAGGCAAATAAATTATTGGGTCTTATAAGAAGGTCGTTCAGATATCTAGACGGTCCGTCCCTCGTGACAATCTTCAGGAGTGAAGTGCTTCCCCATCTGGAGTACTGTCACCCCATCTGGTCCCCGAGATATGCTAGGGACTGTCAGTTGGTTGAAAATGTTCAAAGGAGGGCCACCAAACTGGTGCCTGCACTTCGGCATCTCAGCTACCCTGAGAGATTGGAGCGCCTGAACTTGCCTAGCTTATACTACAGACGGGCAAGGGGGGACCTAGTTGAGGTTTATAAGCATCTCAGGGGGCACTACTCAGTTGAGTGTCCTTACTTGGAGCTGGCGGACGCTCGCCCCACAAGGGGTCACAGCTCAAGATTGAAGAAGCCGCAAGTCCAGAAAACCGTGAGGGCAAACTTTTTCGGAGTGAGGGTTGTAAACTCTTGGAACAATCTACCAGAGAGTGTTGTGACGGCACCGAGTGCGAGCTCTTTCAAGAGAAGACTTGACCAACACTGGAGCGGGTTCAGGTACATTCAGGAGCCGGTGCATGCCCAGTATTTGCCAACAGGACGTGACCGATCGCCCGGGCGGCTAGCGAGCCGATCTTTTGGTGAAGAATATAAATGAAAAGAGATGTGACCGATCGCCCAAGCGGCTAACAAGCCGATCAGTGGCGAAGAGGATAAAAGTAAAAGTAAAAAGTAAATATTTGAGAAAAAATAAAATAAAATAAAAACAATTCTAACCTTACAAACTGGTCATGCATGATACAAAGCATAAAGAACTACAGTACATGTTCTTACCACAGGTTGGTATGAAGTGGCATGTGTATGAGGCAGTGGGGTAAAGTTAGCAGTGTGAGGTACACAACACTGATTTGTAGACAGTATGAGGTAGAGGACATTTGTTTTATTATGTTATTACTATTTACATTGTTTACAATTATTATTACTGCCTCCAGTAATTGATCACAAATTTGCTGATGGTCAAGAGACCCTACTACATTCGTGCTTGGGGGATAGACAAATGTGGGGAGCCACATGAAGTCTAAGGGTGAGATTCCTACATCACAAAAGCTGAGAAACTACTACGAATGGAGATTGGGAGGACTGTATATGTGAGTGAGTGATCGATAAACGCCTACTTGGCAACGATCTAGCCAGGTCCAGAATGGCTATTCAAACAGTACTGCGAAATTACAATCATATGACGTGAACCAAAGCTTAGGGGTTAATAAGCAGTCACCAAAAAAGGAACTGTCCTTCTGACTATGCATTACCTAAGAATTAATTAAACAATTCATTACAAAGTCCCAATAAATACTGTACAGTACCATGTTCCTATTATTTTTACTTTTATCCTCTTCACCACTGAACAACTCATTAGCAGCTTGGGCAGTCGGTCATGTCTCTGTTATGCACTGTTGCCAAGTACTGGCTCCAGAATGTATTTGAACCTGCTCCAGTGCTTGTTAAGTCTGGTCTTGAAAGAGCTCACACACGGTGCCATCACAACACTCTCTGGCAGATTGTTCCAAGAGTTCACAACTCTCACTCCGAAAAAGTTACCCCTCACAGTTTTCTGGACTTGCGGCTTCTTCAATCTTGAGCTGTGACCCCTTGTGGGGCGAGCATCCGCCAGCTCCAAGTAAGGACACTCGACTGAGTAGTGCCCCTTGAGATGCTTATACACCTCAATTAGATGACCCCTTGCCCATCTGTAGCATAAGCAAGGCAAGTTCAGGCGCTCCAATCTCTCAGGGTAGCTGAGGTGCTGAAGTGCAGGCACCAGTCTGGTGGCCCTCCTTTGAACATTTTCAACCAACTGACAGTCCCTAGCATATCTCGGGGACCAGACGGGGTGACAGTACTCCAGATGGGGAAGCACTTCACTCTTGAAGATCGTTACGAGGGACGGACCGTCTTATAAGAACCAATAATTTATTTGCCTCATTTACCTTCTTCTTGCATTGGCCTGAGAACTTCAGCTCATTGTCAACATACACACCTAGGTCCTTCTCATATTCAGTCTCAAATAGTGCAGTTTTTTCATCCCGTTGGGACATATGATGCCTCCTTACCGTTGGTACACCCCAGGTGCATCCACTTACACTTCATGACATTGAATCTCAGCAACCATTTCTTCGACCATTCTTGGAGCCCACAGAGGTCCTTCTGCAGCTCTTCACAGTCCGCCTTGTTCTTGATTTCCCGAAATAACTTGGCGTCATCGACAAACATTTGTATGGAGGAGTGTACAACGTCAGGCATGTCATTTATGAAACAAACAAACAACAGCTGGCCCAATACACTGCCCTGTGGTACCCTGCTTATGACAGGTACGGATGAGGATTTCGTGCCATTAATCACCACATACTGCTTGCAGTCATGTAGAAAGTCTTCTATCTACGCTAGGACATTTCCCTGAATTCCGTACCCTTCCAGTTTGATTTTCAGCCTTTCGTGAGGTACACTGTCGAAAGCCTTGGCAAAATCTAGGTAAATATTGTCGATATTACCACCCCGTTCCAGAATATGGGTCTAAATATCCAATACCTTGAACAATTGTTTTAAGCAGGAGCGCCCCGAAATAAAACCGTGTTGCCAATCCTTTACAAGGTTGTTTCGTAGTAGATGTTCCATCGCGGCATCTCTGATAATACTCTCAAGTACTTTACATATTATGCTGGTCAGGCTCACCGGTCTATAGTTGTTCGTGGAGTGACGATTGCCCTTCTTGAAGACAGGACTCACAAAAGCCACTTTCCATTCACTGGAGACCTTCTATTCATCCAGGCATTTACAAAACACGATCTTCAGAGGCTCGGCAAGCTCATTGCACAACTCTCATCTTTTTCTTTTATCCTCTTCGCCACTGATCGGCTCATTGGCCGCTTGGGCGATCGGTCACGTCTCTGATTACTCTTCCTTTTCATTTATCCTCTTCACCAAAAGATCGGCTCGCTAGCCGCACGGGCGATCGGTCACGTCTCTGTCACACACTGTTGGCAAATACTGGGCATGCACCGGCTCTTGAATGTACCTGAACCTGCTCCAGTGTTGGTCAAGTCTTGTCTTGAAAGAGCTCGCACTCGGTGCCGTCACAACACTCTCTGGTAGATTGTTCCAAGAGTTTACAACCCTCACTCCGAAAAAGTTTGCCTTCACAGTTTTCTGGACTTGCGGCTTCTTTAATCTTGAGCTGTGACCCCTTGTGGGGCGAGCGTCCGTCAGCTCCAAGTAAGGACACTCGACTGAGTAGTGCCCCCTGAGATGCTTATACACCTCAACTAGGTCACCCCTTGCCCGTCTGTAATATAAGCTAGGCAAGTTCAGGCGCTTAGCAGTCTGGGATGCACCATGTCCAGGCCGGGACTCTTATGGACCTTTAGCTTTGACAGTTTATTTGTAATACCCTCTTCTGTGAACACAATGTGGGTCAGTGTTGTGTCGAACCGTCTGTCCTCAAACGCAGGAAGGTTAATCACATCCTCTCTTGTGAACACCGAGGAAAAGAAGCTGTTCAATGCCTCAGCTTTATCCTGGTCAGTATATGCATAACTACCATCTTCAAGCCTCAGGTCTGATACTCCTACTCGCGTTTTTAATTTTGACTTTGCATAGCGGTAAAACGCCTGTGGGTTTCACTTGACCTCGCTTGCAACCAGCCTCTGGAACTCCTTTTCAGCCCTTCTACACTCTATCTTTGCTTGGTTTCTGGCTCTTGCATACATCCTCCTGTCCTGCTCATAGTTTGACCCAACCCACGTCTTGAATTTCTGGGTTTTCTTCTTAACTTTGTCGACCGCCGCATGGTTCATATGTAGGGATCCCCTCGTATTCCTAGAGGCACTGGGTTTGGTCTTGGGTATATATTTATTGATCAAATGAGTCACTTTACTAGTTATGATATTCAGCGTAGTGTCTGGAATGAAGAGATATTTTTGGAATTTTTCGAATTTTAATTTTATTTTCCGGGTATTGGAAACTTCCAGGGATCTAAGATTCCGGCTATCAGGAATATTACTATGAAGATCGCAATATTGCTTATATCATCCTTGGCATCTTCAGTCCACACTCCTATCTTGTCTCCCTTGTTTCGTACACTTACGACTGCGCCACAAATGTTCTTGGAGTATTCTTCTAAGGTTTCTCCTATCATTAACATTAGCTGAAAAATAGAAAAAGCTCAAATGAACAGTCTTGCTCATCGGTAATAATTGAACAAGAGTTGAAAGTAAGAAAGTGACAATTTTGAAACAGTAATCAATGAAGACTAAGAAGTCTAAAAGAAAACCAAGGTGTGTTGCAGGGATAATACAAAGTGATTAAAAAATTCTGGAATCATTCTACTGTGCATATCATGGTCATCCTTAATATCTCTGCAATTCATATTATGATTGCAAAGTGTGAGGGGAGGATCCCTAAATACAGATTGAAGTGAAGTGGAAAACCCATGCCAAGAAAACACTAGCCTAGGCCTTTGTTCTATGTTGGCGCCCAAGATGCCGCGGGTTCCAGTTTTGAGTTAATGATATAGCCCAATTAATTTTCCCAGGAACTGGCAAACCAGACCCTTACTTTAGTATGTAATTTAGAATTAAGGTATGTAATTATAAGGCATAAAGTTACAATATATAGGAAGGTGTATGTGTGCAGGCTAAAATAATGTCAAGGTGAAAATTAAAGATCGGCACCTATAGGCCTAGGGAGGGTGAGACGCCACGCCATAGAATGTCCTGGCGTCGTCTCACCCAAGCAGGTCAGTACCCTAACGCTCGTAATACCCCACCGTACATTATAGAGGCCTATCTAGCAGTTCACAGTAAATACCTCTTAAAACCTTGCCTAATGTTATAAAGTGAATTAATAGAGTTGTAATAGTGTGTGGTGATATAAAAGTCCCTCGGGCATTATTCTCAGTCCTGGCGTCTTCTCTCACCCAAGCAGATGTACTCCGGGAGCATAGGTAGAGTCCCCAGTGAGGTCAGAGGAAGGCTCGGCCCAGCCATCATCGGCCTAACTTGAGGCACCCACGTGTTACTGTGGGGAACGCTGATGGCCACCACGCAACCTCCCTTAATATTCCACATATCAACACCCAGGAGAGAAGACAATGATTGTATTATATGAGATGCTTCTCGGTTGCCACTTAAGTGACCCCATGATACCGGACGCTGGAATAGTCCTGGTATGATTACCTGGGAAGTATCCTATCTACCTAGCAAGAGTAGAGTGTGAGTGAGGTACCTATCATGTGTACCTGGATGATACCAAGGAGTTCCATACTTGTAGGTGTGGAGTGTACCTGATATGTGGTGCTATGTAAATGTTGGTACTATCTGATGTTTGTGGGTGATATGGTAAGAAATAATGACCGAGGTAAGGAGGTCAATGATTTATGAAGAATGAAGATTAAAATTAGTTCATTTGGAGAAGGTCGTGTATTGGTGTGAAGTGTAATGACCTTAATAGTAGTTATTTTGATGAAGGTCAATTATTTTTTATTGTGACTGAACGCAATATTTTTTTATTCGGAAATAAATTAGTTAAGTCATGAATGATGTTTCATCCTTCCTTCCACTCTCGATAGGGTCAATGAAAAACCAACCCAATGCCTGGCTTGCTCTGCCAGCTACCTAAACAAGATACATACTATCCCAGGGGGTCTGGTGGCAGCGACCTTAAAGTTAGTAGTAGATTTAAGTTATCCCCTTAGGATTAGTGACCCCATAACTGGGCAGTACTGTATATCATTAGGATACAGTATTTAGTTTTCTATTTCAGTTTCTCTTTGCTCAAACTGTAAGCCCCGGATAAGCACAAACCCATATAAATTCACCAAAATAGATTGTGTTAAACATTTCTCAATACTGACAACAATTTGTTTTAATTTGTTTCAGATTGCAGTCTTCAGATTTTCAATACAGTGCTGTAGTGCATGGTCTCATAATACAAATACATTATAAATGAATGCAATTAGAAATGGATATGCTCAAGGTTAAAGAAGCCATAAGTAAAAAAAATTGTAAGGGCAAGGTTTTTCAGAGAGAAAATTGTGAACTCTTGGATCAATCTGCCAGAGTGTTGTGACGGCACTGACTGTGAGCTCTTTGTAGACCAGACTTGACCAACACTGGAGCAGGTACAGATACATTCAGGAGCTAGTGCATGCCCAGTACTTGCCAACAGTGCACAACAAAGACGTTACCAACCGCCCAAGCGGCTAATGAGCCGATCAGTGGTGAAGAGGGTAAAACTAAAAAAAAAGTGTGCTCGTGTAAAGCTCTTAGTTTGAGCAAGCAGTAAACTATAGTTGAAAAACAAGTGTTCCTATGATTCCAGGTTCCAATCGCCCTAAAAAGCAGTATCACTTGCAGGCTAATTATTTGATATTACTTTACCTTTAAATCTTATTTCTTCATTACTACAGTACTGTACATACTGTACTTACAACTTCTCTCATTTAAAAAATGGAATAATTATTATACAAAGTAATATAATAGGTTGTATCTGAGAAGGGTCTAACAGTACACTTTTGGTTGGCTGACTACAAGAGCTAACAATAATAATGTTTTTTTTTTACGGGGAATAACCCACCCAGGCACAGGTCATCGACCCACAACGGGGCCTGGGGGAGCCAAAAAATAAAGAGTGAGACACATTGTATGAGAATAGAAATACAGGAGGAGGCAGAGCATTCCACAGTTTGGCTGTGTGAGGAAAGAAGGATGTACTGTACTATAACGGGTTATTCTAGTGTGACCGACAGCCACAGAGAAACTGTGGGCACCGTGGACAAGACGAGTGTTACGAGCCCACAGCCTTGCCGGCAGTACACAGGATGACAAATCCACCGAACTTTGCCCGTTAAAGTACCTGTAATTCCTTTTTATAAAGATCTTATTCGTGATCACTTACCACTTCCAACCAGTAATTATCTAAATCTGCAGTACGCTGTTGCCTGCTGACATTGAGGAGCCAACGACCTCCATTACAGTTATTTTCATCCTCCCACATGGGTTTTATGTGCTGCTTGAACAAGGAGTAATCACGTCCATTTTTCAACAGTGAAGGAGGATCAATGTGATTATATACCCTGTAATTTAAAAGCAATTAAAGATAAATGATTTAAAACATCAATAATAAATTGCTTCTCCAAATCAAAAACTGGAATAAAAGTACCAATGAGGCCTGAGGCTCTACTAGCCATTTACTGTATCAGGAAATTAACATTATTGTCTTTGATTATACAGTAACCTTCAAGGGGTACAGTAGCTGAATGTGTACAGTACTTACCTGTTTAAAGGTTGGTTGTTGGTTTATGCCCAGGGAACCCCCCACTTCATACAGACGTGAATGGATACCTAACTTTGATGCCAGGAAAGTGAAGGCAGTTGAATGCAGTGCTGGCCCCACTGCCTTCTTGTGAACTGAGTGCTTAGTCTACAGTGGGCATCCACACTGTCCCTAATGGGCTGTCAGGCCAGAGAGAGCCAATTTAACTATAATCACAAGCTATGTCCTCCTTGTGACATTTCATAGAAATACTACTACAGTAGTAACCACCTAATCCTCCCCGACTTACGACGGGGTTAGGGACCCAAATCCAGGTCGTAAGCCGAAAATGCTTAAATAATACATAGAAAATCTAAAATGGGTGTCTCTTTTTCTTCTCAGCACCACAAAACTCTCACTTTTAAACTTGCCAGCCATTTTAAAGGGAATTACAAACGAAAATTTTGTCAGTAGACAGCGCGATCACTAATGTCTGACTGGGGTACCTCCACCACTGTTTGCTCCTCCTCTGTTGTAGTTTGCTCCTCCTCCGTTACTGTTTACTCCTCCTCGGCTGCTTTGTGCTCCTCCTCGACTGCCGGCTGGTGAAGAAGCTGCTTCTGCCGTCCCCCAACGAAAAAATTAATCCAGTGTTGACTGCTTGGTGCTACTCTTCTTCTTCTCCTTATAGATCTCAGTGTAAAAACCAAGACTGTCCTCAATACTGCGTTGAACCTTTGAGCTACGTTCTCTGTTTGGGTCGTCATCTATAAGGATTTGCATTGCTTGCTGGAACATGTTGAACACTTCTGCAGTCCTTGTGGAAGTTAGCGTTCGTTGAGTTTCTTCTTCATCATCGTCTTCAACGGGACTGTGTTCTGTTAGTTGTTGCAAATCTTTGTTGGTGAGCTCTTCTGTATGGGATGCCAGGACGTCCTCAATATCCTCTGATTCCAGCTCATCAAAGCCTGCCTGTCTAGCCAAGCAGAGGATATCGCCTATTCACTGCTGTGACTAAGTCCATGAATTCTGTAAAACTGTTGACGCACTCGGGCGACAATTTACCCCACACACCATTCAGGCAGCTTTCTGAAACTTCTTCCCATGCCTTGCCAATGTTATCAATTGCATAAAGAATGTTGAAGCCACACCAATATTCTCGGATCGTATGTTTATTTTCTCCGTCTGTAGCCTTGAACAGCTGGGCCATGGTACGGCATGAATAATACGCCTTGAATGCAGCGATGATGCCTTGGTCCATAGGCTGCATCAGTGCTGTCGTGGTGGGAGGCAGGAATACAACTTTTACACTGTCATGCAAGTAGTCGAGATTGGGAGGATGAGCTGGAGCATTGTCAAGGATCAGAAGAATTTTGAAGTTAAGGTTCTCCTTGGCACAGTATTCCTTCAGTGCAGGGACTGCGTACACGTTTAACCACTGGCTAAATATGGTGCCGGTTATCCATGCCTTCTTATTTGCCTTGTAAATCACAAGAAGGTGATCCTAGAATAACCTCTTAGGACCCGTGGGATGACAGCGCGAGAAATCAGCATAGGCTTCAGCTTGAAGGCACCGGCAGCGTTCGTGCCAAGCAGCAGCGTCAAGCGGTCTTTTGCCACTTTAAAACCTGGCGCTCTTTTCTCCTCCTTGGAAATATCGGTCCTCTCAGGCATCCTCTTCCACATTGAAGACTTGCTTCGATGAGTAGCTTCCTTCCTGGATAATCCGTTTGAATTCTGGCGGGAATGTCTCGGCAGCAACCGTATCTGAACTGGCAGCTTCACCAGTCATCTTAATATTGTGGAAGTTATACCTGTGCTTAAATCATTGTAACCAGCCTTGGCTGGCCGTAAAGGTATCATCCTTCGATCCTTCACCCTCTTCTGCCTTTATGTTGTCAAACACTTGTTTGATCTGGCCTTATTTTGGATAACCATAAGGTTCACAGGTGTATTGCGTTGATTCTGGTCCTCCATCCACATAGCCAGTATCTTTACCACTTTTTCTATCACAGTACTTCTATTACGAGTTGTCTTATTTGCACTAAGAGAAGAACCACTTCCAGCACTAACCTTAATCTTGTCAGCGTTGGTCCAATTAGTATACACCGTTGTGGGGGTTAGACCAAGCACAGCGGCTATGTCCACAGCACGTTCCCCTTTTTCAAATCAGGTTAATACATCCATTTTCGTAACAAGGGTAATGGTCTTATGTTGCCTCTTCACTACACTAGCATCAGTAGCACTTTATGGGTGCTTGGAAGCCATTTTGAATGGTTAGAGTACAGTTTTAGAGCAAAAGCACTTAAGCACACACGAATGATGTGAAGTAGTAACAGATGTGAAGTCATAACAGAGACTGGTTTGGCGTCGCTTGGAGATGCTGTGACGTTCGACGAGTGAGGGCAGTGCGGCCAGACAAGAGCGGATGATGTGCCGTAGAAAGTAGTCCGTGACGACGCAAAACGACGTAGTATCGGATAACAGGGACGTTAAGCGAATTTTTGGTCTCTAAAGTTTAGTGACATAGTACTGAAACAACGTTAAGCGGACGACGTTATACGAGGACTTACTGTACTTGCCAACAGTGTGTAACAATGATGTGACTGACCGCCCAAGTGGCCTATGAGTCGATCAGTAGCGAAGAGTATAAAGTAATAATTTGTGAACCTCACTTCCTTGTCAACATAAACTCCCAGGTTCTTTTCACTTTTGCTTCCAATTACTATACTGTAATGATGTTTCTTCATCAAGTTGGGACACAAGATACACCTCCTTACTACTGGTACAAATTAGGTACATCATCTTGTATTTCATGTTGCTGACTCTAAGCAGCCATTCCTTTGACCACTTCCGAAGCCAACAGAGATCTTACTGTAATGCTTCACAGTCTATTTAGTTCTTAATTTCCCTGAATAGCTTAATATCTTCTGCAAACATTTGGGTTGGTGTTAGGAAGGGCATCCCATAAAACTTTGCCTCATGGTGCTTGATGACAACTGGGTCACCATTCTAGAACTGTGCTCAGCAGCTCATCCCCAGGTCTCTGCTGCTTTTTCTGGGTTGGCACTATGGAATTACAGTGGATAGAGAGGAGATCTCATTCTGATTTTACCCAGCAGCCGCCGTCAGGTAATTGTGGCCATAAAATGTCGATAATGATAATGGCTAATAATATTTTAAACAAATGCATATTTTTTAAAAATAATTTTTGCCACTTATTAGCTTACTAGTCGTTTGGGCGCTCTATCCAGTGTTAGTACAGGAGGAAACTTGTGATGTCTGGTATTGTCACACTCGATAACACCCTTCTCACGTGTGTCTGGGCTGAGGCTCGAACCCTTGACATACTGGTGAGAGTTACGTGCGTTACCACTGTACCACAAACACCCCCAGCACATCATCAGCCCCGTCATACTGCCCTGTGGTACACCACTCATCACGGGTACAAATGATAATTTTATGTCATTAATCACTACACAATGCTTGCAGTCACTAAAAAAAATACCCAATAACATTGTTCTGTGTTTGTTTGGTAGACATGGTAATTTTCATTAGGTAAACTTAAAATGTGGCTTTTTAGATCCAACTGATTTTTTTTCTTAATGTAAAAACTTATTATGGATTTCCAAAAAGCTACTTTTATAGGTACAGTACTGTACAGTTTCTTCATACAGAATAACTTCTGCCAAATTATTCAATAGATGACATACATTTTGTTAGAAAAAACATTGTAACCAGCATCTAAAGCTAATTAATGAATTATACCATACTTTACGGCATGTAATACACACCTTTTTGTCTGAAAAATGGCTAATAAATCAGCCTGGGTCCTATATGTGAAGTTGCTGTCTCTTGCAAGCTAATGAATACCCCTGTTGCTGCTCTCCAGTAGGCTAAATTCTACCTAACCCAACTCTAGAATTAAAATTATGTTATTGCTTACCTGAACACATTATTATTTTTTTTATTAATTAAAAAATAATTATTGTAAATATAAAAGGTCGATCTATAACTACTCTGTACTGTACTGATGATGATAACCTGAGACGATTAACGTCTGTACGGCAGACACCCAACTCTTCAAAGATAGCTAGACAGTAACCATTTCTGAACTCTTACAATACAATATTTATTTTGCAATCTACAAATACCTGATACAAATGAAGATTTACAGATATCTTTCTTTTCACATTTACATCTGTTAAATTCGCTGGCGGCATTGTAGCCAGGTTAGAATCGTCTCTGTAACCCGGCTACTGGGCCAAGCTGTTGTTTTTCAACTCGTATTTTCGGGGAGATATACGTAACTTTCTTCATTTATTTTTACTGATATACAGTATAGTCTGCATTTACGCGGTCAATTAAACCCGTGGAGGTCCGCGTAAAATGAGAAATGCGTAAACGAAATAACAGAACATAATTATGGGTTTAATTGAAATAGAGACTGGGCCGACCCCCAAACTACACTTTTTCCGACACAATACGTACGTTGTAGTAAAAAAACATCTGAATTTTATAATAGTATGCACACACAATTAATATTTAAGAGAAATATCAATAATATTAGGTATTTTAACACTTACGTTAGTAGAAAAGATGGCTGGGCACAAGGGGATGGGGAGTTGGTTCCAAGGCAGAGGGCAGATTATTGGCCCTCACTGGTATCACTGGTACCACTATCCACCACAGAGGCTTGCAGGGCCTCTTTGTCAAACCCCTCAAAGTCCGTACCCTCACTATCACTGACTTGGGCCGGCTGTGGTGGGTGGCGGGTGAAGAACTCGGTAATATTTTGATGACTGGGCGACCTTGTGCGCACCCTGCCCGCGCCGCTTCCCGCGTAAATGATGAAATTTACTGCGTAATTAAAACATTTCATTCTAGCAAGGCACCGCGTAAATGACCAAACACGTAAACAAAATCCGCGTAAATCCAGACAATACTGTACATGCACACAGCATCCTACATATATATTGTGAAAAAAGTAAAAGAAATAATTGTCCTAAAGGCAAACACATAAAAGGAATATTGTATACATTTCTTTGCAACTGAGTTAGCTGGCGAAGTGGGGGGAGCAGGAGGATGGCTGGGCAGTTGGTGGTAGGGGGGAGCGTTGCTAGGGAATCAGCAGAGGTAGGGTTGCTCTTGCTATAGTAAACAGGGAGTACAGAATACAGATGTACAGTAAACCCTCTATAACTCGGTATTTGACAACTCGGAATTTCATAAAACTCGGCATGGATATGGTCTCGGAATGTATTATAGTATAACCCGGGAAATGCAGAGATATATAAAATTATCTTGGAAAATCTCGGCATATCTGGCCACCTGCATCACCTACCATGCCTGTGTCACCTACCATACCTCCGTGTCACCTACCATGCATCTGTCACCTACCATACATCTGTATCACCTACTATGATGCTTCATTCTTCGGCTGCAGTGCTGGTGTTATTTTTTTACATTTAGTTATTACATGTACACATATATGGGTCAATAAATCTTTTATTGTTGTATTTTTGTAGGAGGGGGAAAATGCCTTGATAAGTCGGAATTTGGGATAACTCAGCAAGGCCAGAGCCCCATATGTGCCAAGTTATCAAGGTTTTACTGTATATGGAAATGGCGAGTGTTAAACTTTTATTTGGCTTTTATTTAATGGTTTGGCAATAGAGTCTTTTTTGTTGTAACTTATTTATTGGTGTTATTTTTATTTATTCCTCACATTTACTGATACTATACACATGTATATTGTTTGAAGAAAACTATGGATATACAGTACTGTAGGAGGAAAATACACACAAAAGTTTTTCCTAAATACTCCCTGTTAAAATGGGGAGTGCATCTTCTATGACCGTGCGTCTTAAGTGCCGTGAAATAAGGTACACTGTATTGTACTGTACAGTACTACCAGCTAATTCTAGTAACAATTAACTCACGCCCAAAAATCTTCAATTGTGTTAAAGCTGGCTACTAGCATCTGGCAGTCCTCCCAAGTTTTGGTGGGGTCAATCTTAAAGAACCAGAGAGTCCATGTGTTTTCCAGAGGGTGTTTGATCAATACGTCAGGAGAAACTTCCAGCTCCCCCTCTACCTCTACTTCACTGTATTGCTGTTTTTCTGCATTCTGAAAAATATTAACCACAAATAAGACTACTATAGAGAAGTACAAGTAATATAGTACGATAATAAGAAAGAATTAACAAGCATTCTGTTGACGTATTCACCAAATGATAAACTTGACACAAAAAAAACAGCTTGGAGGTGTTGGTGGTACTGCGTTAACGTGCATATCTCTCACAAATATGTCAAGTGTTTGAGTCCTGTTTGCCCGACACATGTGAGAAGAGTGTTATCTAGCGTGACCGTACCAAATGTCACGGGTTTCCAGGGGCAGATCAGGGGGTATCCTGGGGTCCGGAACCCCCGTTTCATCATCAAAATTCCAGTACCTGCACTTTTTCTTTAATATAGTATTGTACTCAAGTGTTTTTGTATACTAGTAAAAAGTAATTAATACTGACTTCGGAATATCTCATAGTATGAAGTGCACATGGCTTCAAAATGCCCATAATATTGGCCAGATTTAAAAAAATATTCTGGGGAGGCATACAGTGCCCCTCCAAAAAACTCCCCAGCTGAGTGGGCTCACTGTGCTTGCCATGTTCCCCCACTCACAATTTCTTGGACGCCCCCCCCCCCCTTGATATTCCTGGATCCGCCCCTGGTTTCCCGGATTCTGGTTTCCTGCTGTATAAACACTGGATAGACCAACCGCCCAAATGGCTAGTAAGCTGATCAGTGGTGAAATGATAAATAAAACAATTCACATATGTACTGTATCTGAAACAGTCCAGTGATGTTCAGGTAGTATATCAAAGTTAAATTACTGGCATACCAAAATTTACAAAAGGGTCTCACTCCTTAAAAAAAAAAAAATTATATCAGGTTAAATTTTCCCATAATCTTTCATTAGTAAAACTGTGATACAGTCATATGAAAAAAAAAATCTTAAAATGCTACATAGCATAATTTTATTGACAAATCTTGGAGTACTGTACACAATGATTATAAGCCAATAATAAACCTATTAAGTGAATTACAGGGTACAACTGCACATGCAGTGGAGGACACTGAAATTACAGTATTGAGAAACTGTGCAACTGGTTGCAATGCATTTTTTCTAGTGTTGCTAACCATATTTGCCTTGAGAAAACAAACTTGCTGGTATATTAAATCTGCAGTAATTCAAGACATTCACCTTTTTTATGTTGTAGCAGTCGGTTACATTTTTTTAATCTGATATCAAAAGTGATAATACCTGGTCAGTAATTGAGAAATGCACTGAAAATTATGATGCATAGAAAAAAGGAAGATTAATATGGCAAACAGGCAATAAATGAAGCAGCCCTAATACTTTTGAATTAGAAAGTTATTATATTAATGTACCATTTTTCATATTTATATACTATGTATAACTGATTGATCTACTCTCTTGCAAAACATAGAAAATATAATAATATATCTTGATGATTAGTAACATTAAAAATAGGCAATAATTTACAACAGTGTATGTTGTCATAGCAACAAACGTTGTAAATAATTTTATGACAGCACACATACCAGCAAAACTTAACTGATCCAAACTAGACATAATTTAACTTATAATCATTAAGTTATGTCTAGGTTCAGTTACTTCATGGGTGCCCTCATAAGTTTAATTTTTACATAGGATATGTGCACCTGGCTCTAGTAGATCTAGTAAAATTAAACAGAGATTCAAACCCAGGTCTTTAGACAGTATTTTTAATTTTGTTTCTCTCATTACTTGACTTAGCCCACAAACACAGGTTGCCATTCATTTATAGTACGTACTGCAGTAGCTACTACTGTAGTACAGTAGGTGGGACAGATTCTCTATATCATAATCTTATGAAATTTGGGTAATCCTGGAGCAGATGGCTAACACTAAAATGTGCTGTCTGATTTCGTTCATTTTTTTCACACATGTTCTTTGGATGATTCTAATTAATAAAAATGATACAACAACTTTCTCTTTTAATTTTAAGTATTTTTTCTCTATGATCATAAATCACCTGTAGTGAACAAGGTATGAAGGATGAGAGAAATTGCAGGGTAAAACAGTGAAAACTTATTATATGACACTAAAATGATGTTTATACGTGCTTTGAGTTCAACAAAATTAATTAATTACCATAAATTTTCCGACACATGCTGTCATCTGCTTATTGTTAGTTTACGTGCAACAACCGAGCCACTTGGTTCAAGCATACTTACCCGGTACGTCCACAAAAAAACTTAAATTTACACCATGCCACTTCAGGAAAGTTGCTTTCAGGGGTACCAGATACCAAAGTACATAAATTCTTTCCGTTTAATAAGCCAGGGGGCCTGGGGCCCCAGTTAGAAAGTTAAGAAAGGTTATGTAGGTTTCTTTGGTTGGTTAGGTCATGTTCTATTCAGTCCTGTGCAATGCCGTGTCGTTTTTATCATGTAGTGGATATTTTGCCATGACTGGCTAAGTTCCTACTAACGCTATTTTACCTTTAGTGCGCTCCGATTGGTCAAGTACTTTCTGTATATTATGACGGGGAGTCTGCCCCCCGTCTAGGAAGTTAGGTACCGCTAGGTAGGTTTCTTTGGTTAGTTAGGTCAGGTTCTATTAGGTTCTAGTAAATGTCACCTCTTTCATAATGATAAGAGCATCTGTGGAAAAAATTACCCAAAATTGAACAACTCCTGGTTAGGTATGTTTATAGCTACACAACGATCAACTCACAGTGAAATAAATGCCAATTGCCACCAGTCATGGTCACATATCATTCTCGCGTTGTTCACTAGTAATGGACGATGAGCCAATTCCAATACGGTAAAATAGCATTAGTAGGAACTTAGCCGGTCATGGCAAAATATCCACTGAATTTTTATTACTATCATCCTAAGAATATCTGTGGAAAAATGGTAATTATTGACGAATGACCAGCGGCCGATTTTTCATAAAAAAAAAGTATAAAAACGCCGTTTTATAGTGGACACTGTTGTAGTTTGTGTAAATGTGTTTAAATGTGGTTATTTCTAAATTAAAATTAACCCAACCTTAGTATATGTGAAAAACAAAAACCTAACCTTAGTACTGTATATGTGAAAAACAAATAGCAGAAGTGTTGTTAGAAGACCTCACGAACCTAACCGAACCTACCTAACCTTACCTAATTTCCTAGCGGGTGGGGGGAGTCGGTGTATTAAACAGAAAGAACTTACTATGATATGGTGTAATTTTACGTTTTTTGTGGAAATGAGAGCAGCCATCCATACTGAACGGTTTTTAAGCATACACTGAGCATCGGCGTTGATCAAGCCCAGGCAGCGGAGTCTTTTGAAATACGTCAATATGATTGGCCGTTTACATCCTGGGATGAGACGTCACCGCTGCATTACCGCCGAGAAGACAATGTATTGCACCTAGGCGCCTACTTATCTACCAAACGAAGCATTTGCACAAGAAATGATTATTATAACAGAACTCACTGATGAAAATAAAGTATGAAAATAAACAGTAAAACAAATAACTCGTCCGTGGGTCAGTCGTCAATATAAACCCCAAAAATTAACAAAATCAATCAACAGGTTCTGGTCTTATCCATCTGCTGCGGGATTACCGAAATTTGAAATTCTTAAGCATTGATCTAGGGTACAGGCTTTATCATGTGAAAATTGATTGTCAAAAATGGAAAATGCTGAAGAGATTATTTGAAATGAGTTTGCATGGAAAAGTAGTTTTATTGACTGAAGACCAATTAATCTTCCCCAACCTCCCACCAAACACTGGATTAGGCAAAGTTTGATGATATCAGAGATTTTAAATTGTTAAGCTATGTTATAATTTGGAGGGTTGTATTATTGCTGCAAGACTTTAGTGCTTCACTGATTTCAGTTCCAGGTTCTAGTGGTGCATTAACGTATACCTTCCAGCATCAAGACTTTATTAACCCAATTAATAGCACTTTACACCAGCAATTAATTACCATGGTACACCACATAAAGTTCCTTAGAAAGCAATGTCAACTTTTCCGCAACTGAGCTGCCTGCCAGGAGTGTTGTTGGTTTTCGTATCTTTTCTCATGTATATCAAGGAAAATGACCCAATATTATTAAAACACAAATTATATCACCTTTAACACAAAGTAGAAACCAAACAAATGTTAAACGAAAATAATATGCCTATATATATATACAGAAATAAGCACGTACCATGATGTAGGGACTGGTGAAGCTCTTAAGAAGTTATCCGTGAGCGTTGAGTAGCGAGATGCGCAATATATATATATATTTTTTTATTCTCTTAGCCGCCCGGGCAATCGGTCACGTCTCTGTTACTCACTGTTAGCAAGTACTGGGCATGCACCGGCTCCTGAATGTACCTGAACCTGCTCCAGTGTTCAGGGCCGGATTCAGGAGTGGGCAAAGTGGACAGCTACCCAGGGGCCTCCACAATCTGGGGGCCTCCACATATTAAAATTTTGATTTATTTGTTTATTCATTTGGATTATTTTTATTTTCATTCTTTAAAATTCATGTTTATCTATTCCATCACGTAAAACTATGTTCAACAAGAAGCGTGATAGAAATTAGGCTAGCTACTCCTTGAAATTCATGAATAATGCAAAGAATCATCTCTCTGTAATAACTAATAATACATTCTTTTCTGTTAAGTCTCTTGAAAATTTTTGACATGTGTGGTAGTAGCTATATCAGGGCTGGTCGACTTGAAACCACATGAATGACTCCAGTCATGTCTCACTTGTGTGTGTGTGTGTGTGTGTGTTGGAATTTGTACACTATCAATAAATATACAGTTAATTAAAAATTTCTCAATGTTTTAATTTCCTCAATATAACTGCATATGGCTTCAAAATTCTCCAAAGAAGTGTTCAAATTTCAAAATTTTCCCGGGGGGCTTACAACGCCCCCCGGAAATCCCAGATGTTTGGGCTCGCTTCACTCGCCACCCCACCCTCTTGGGTAGTTATAATGAGGGGGGTCTCCACAAAGAGGCTGCCCATGGGCCTCCACAGGTCTAAATCCGACACTGGCAGTGTTGGTCAAGTCTGGTCTTGAAAGAGCTCACACTCGGTGCCGTCACAACACTTTCTGGTAGATTGTTCCAAGAGTTTGTAGTGGATTTCTCCCCTTCAAATGCTGTTCGTCGCCGAGTAGCCGACCCCACCAATTCCCCAGTGTATGCCTCATGGTCTAGGTCAACCAGCGCCGCCATACATCACGGAGCGGGGGTCAACTACTAAGCCACGCCTACCCCCGCTATTTAAGACCTGACCTCGTGGTGACCTGCCTCTTTCTACCTACAGCCGCAGCCAGCAACACCTCCTCCTCCGCCGCTGCCTGGCGGCCCTCGCTCCTCCTCCGCCTGCCTGGCGGTCCTCTCTCCCGCTGGCGAGCATGGCGACCCACGAGCTGTCCTTCTCTGAGCATCCTCACCAACCAGCTCTCTCTACATCACGCTTGTAACCATGCTGCCTTCCCAGCACCAAGCTGCATTGTGCATCCAATACAACATGTATATAGAGAGCACATTGTGAGTTTCCTTTCTCCATTCCATCCTGAGTGTGAACCAAACAATCTCAT